GATTTATTGTAGAGATGAGGTCTCACCAAGTTGCCCAGGCTGGTCTCGAACCCCCGGGCTTAGGCAATCCTCTTGCCTCTGTCTCCCAATGTCCTGGGATTACAGGCTGAGCCACCGCACCAGGCCCAAGCTTTTGATTTTTAAAGAGGGAAGAAGAAATATGTTTAAGATGGAAGAATAAGGAAAGAACAAATATCTGTCCTATTATGGGCCAGGTGCTAAATTTCTTTAATTTTTTGTTCAATCTTTTACTAATCCTTTGAGGTGCATTTTTTTTTTTTTTTTTTGTGAGTTGGAGTCTCACTTTGTCACCCAGACGGGAGTGCAGTGGCACGCTCTCGGCCCCCGCAGCCTCTACCTGCTGGGCTCAGGCAATTCTTCCACCTCAGCCTTCCAATAACTGGAACTACAGGCATGTGCCACTAGGCCCAGCTAATTTTTTGATATACTGTAGAGATGAGGTCTCACCAAGTTGCCCAGGCTGGTCTTGAACCCCCAGGCTCGGGCAATCCTCTCTCCTCGGCCTCCCAAAGTGCTGGGATTACAAGCTGAGCCACCAAGTCTGGCCTAATTTTTTGATACATTGTAGAGACAAGGTCTCACCAAGTTGCCCAGAATACTAGTCTCGAATCCATGGACTCAGGCAATCCTCTCATCTCGGCCTCCCAAAGTGCTGGGATTATAGGCTTGAGCTACCGTGGCCAGCCTAAAGTCATATTAATAAGCTCAGTTAACTTGTGAAAATCACAGAAGTGAAATGGTTTTTTGAAGGGCACTGGTGTAAGTGGAGGAATGAGATCCAAATGTAAGTTTGTCTGATTCCAACACTGTTGGGAAAGAGGAGAAAGGAAAAGCAGAAGTAGGCCGGGCTGGGTGGCTCAGCCTGTAATCCCGTGTCTTTGGGAGGCTGAGGTGAGTGGATTGCCTGAGCCCACGGGTTTGAGACCCGCCTGGGCAAGTTGGCAAGACCTCATCTCTACAATAAATCAAAATGAGCTGGGCGTGGTAGCGTGCGCCTGTAGTTCCAGCTACTTCGAAGGCTAAGGCAGAAGGATTGCCGGAGCCCAGCGGGTCGAGGCTGCGGTGGCCGGGAGTGGCCACTGTACTCCAGTCTGGGCGACAGAGTGAGACTCCAACTCAAAAAAAAAAAAAAAAAAGAAAGAGACGAGGAGAAAGTAGCCATGTGAAGAGAAGAGGGGGAAATGGGAAGAAAAATAAAGGTCTCCGAGAGGTTGGGAGGTAAGTAAACCTAAGCAAAACCCTAGACCTGCCATGTTTTTAATAATAGCGACAGAAACAAGATGCGCTGAAACAAAGCTAGAAAAGCTGACTGATATCCAAGGACTCAGACACATAAAATATTCATCGCTGATTCAAGAGGCATCTATTGAGCTGAACACCTCTTACTGCCAGGTTGTTCTAGCTCCTGGGGATACAGACAAAATCCTTGCCCTCTTGGTATTTACATTTGTGGTGGAGCCCAGGGCATAACTAAACAAACAGTCACAAGGTGATAAGAAAAAAACAAGGTAAGGGTGGGGGGAATGCAGGCGATATCTGTGGTTTTACATCTGGTGCTAAGAAGAGCCACTCTGACAAGGTGACAGTGAAGCAAGGTATGTGCATTTCTGTGGGGAGAACGTTCCTGGCAGAGCAAACTGTCCCTACGAAGAGCCTGTGATGGAGACGCGCTTGATGGATTCGAGGGGCAGCGAGGAACCTCTGTGGACAGGGCAGCGTGAGCCGGGCAAGAGCAGGACGGGGTGGGGTCAGGGTGCAAGCAGGGAAGCAGAAGACGGCAGGCCTTGTGGGCTATCGCAAGGCCTTCAGCTCTTGCTCTGAGTGAGGTGGACGGCCGACGAACACTGAGCAGGGGAGGGCACGCCTGACCCACGCGTTTAAAGGATGATGGTTCACGGGCAGAGGCAATGAGACCAGACAGAAGGCTACTGCGAAGATGCAGGTGACACTGAGGCCGGGTAGCTGGGACAGCTCAGGCACTGACAGATGAGTTTCTTTCAGGCAGGTCTAATTTAGGCGTCCAGACATCTTTCTTATCAGTACATGACCGTCACCCAGTTAAC